GGGGGTGGGGGGAGAGGACAGAATGGCAACAATAATCCCAAATACTCAGTTTGAGTTATGATGTATCTGAAACCTGGGATATAGCACTTCAATCAGAACTACAGTAGGTTAAGATAACCTTTCAATCCCACACATTGTTATGTGATCTGAAGCCAACAGTTGTGCTCTATAACACCTCATAGGATTGTTAAGATGATAAAATTGGGGAACAGCTTATATAGTCTTTTGGCCTACTTGGAGAAATAAGTAAGGTACAGTAATATTAGCTGAATACAAAACATGTATTACCATCCATGAGTTTTACATTTCACTTCCCTTAACCCTTATTGCAACCAACTTTTCCCCCTTCCAGAATCATGATTTTACAGGAGAAAAACTTGAAATAGTTCGTGTATCTGATGAAGTAGCTTCTTGTAAAAAAAAAAAATAAAGCTTTTAGCATAGTAAGTATACTAGGCTTTCAAGTGCTTCAAGTATTTTATTTGCTGGTGTTTTTCAAAATAGATGCAACAAAAGTAATTTAACCACAGTATGAATTTATATGGTAGAGATGTCATATCTATTATTTAACAGTGCTGCAATCAGTATTATGGAAGCTCTCCTTTAAATTATTATAGTAGTTGGGAAATCAACAAACAATAGTGGAAGTCTCACTAATTTGCCTTATACCTTACAGTTTAACCTCCTAAATGTTGTAGATGTTTAGAGAACATTATTTCCTATACTCTAGCAGAATTGATAGACAGTCTTAACCCTAAGCAGCATAGAACATAGAGATTTTATTGCTGAATAATAATGTGCAAGACTATAAACAAACTGGAAGTCCATTTTCCTCCAATATATATTATGACTGTGGTATAAATCAGCAGCTAGTACAAATGGAAAGAAGCACCTAGGTTCCAGTGTAAATTGCGAGGAAACAGAATATATATCAATGGATATAATTTGAATGGTGGGAAGATAATACAAAATTGCACTTTCTTGTTTCAATAAAGTACTGGCCTCTGTATTGCCTATGGATAGATCATGATGTTATATTATCCTTATGAAATAGCAAAGCATTAACATTTCTTTTCCAGAACTCTGCAAAACTATTTATCAGCCTCTACCGAAACTGATTGAATTATGCTCCAGCTCAAACCATTATCTATTGCTCTTATCCTTTTCCTTGGAAATATGATGACTGGTAAGATCTAGGATCCTTCCATTCATAGTTGTTTTGCTTGCTCAATATCTGCTTGCCCCAGCCTTCAGTTAAAGTTAAGTCCTAGTATTAAGTGTGGAATGTATGTGATTTATTGTTGTTGCTATACTTACAGTCATGTGAAAAAGAAAGTACACCCTCTTTGAGTTCTATGGTTTTATGTATCAGGACATAATAAAAATCA